TTATGGCTTGTATTTCGTTCGTTCTGGATGTATATGTTTGATTTGTCTACTTCTTAGTAGCGTATTGTACAAGATGTTTGACTTTCCTCAGTTCAGTTGCGTTCTATTATGACCTTCTGCGCCCCGCCAGCGTTTGTACAAAAACACACTTTGGTCCTGACGGCTCCCATCAACAGCTTTCTTAGCCCATTCAAGAAGCTCTGCAGACATCCCTGTCGAAAGTCCTGGGTGCTTTGGCGGCGCGTTAAGTGAGATTTGGTTCGAGATGCATGGTCCACGTATCATCGCCGCGGCACCGGCGATGATACTTGTCCAATTTTATGATCGCCCGATAGCCTTGCAACACCTGGGTTCTGCTGGGAGCTTAGGCGACCGCGCGTCGCAGCACCTATTTCGTGGACGCTTCCTGCATAAAACTTCTACGCAACATCTACGACTTTCTTTTGGCCAAGATTAAGTAATAATAATTATAATATCATGCTGAATTCAGTACTTTCATCCCTATTATCTAACATTGTTAGAATTACATATAATTTCATTCATGTTTGCCTCGTAAGAGTGCAGCCACAACATCAAGAGTAAGATAGGAAGCATCAAGAAGTCACACTCAACGCTTATACGTAAATCTCTCTCCTGTCGAGAAAGACAGTCATATACAGGCTTCTGTCAGATGCGCAAGTTATGCCGCTTTAGCCAACTATGCCGAGCAGACATCATCAAAATAAGGTCGCTGTGTTACTTCACATCCAATGTTGTGCTTCCCCTAACCATCCATTATTTATTTCTAGAATTTCCACTCATAATTCTGAATGATATCGACATTGCTCATTTAAATTGACATGAACTATTGTATACGGATGCCTTGAAGCAAAAATCACTGTTATATGTAAACTACGTATTACTCTTTTATTAATTTTACCATTAAAAAAATACAAATATTAATATTATCACAATATATTGTAATAATTACAATATAATGTAATTATTGTAATATTATTACAAATATTACAAATTATATACTCCGTATTTAATTTTAGTACAAGTATTGATAAATGTTCAATTGAATTTAACCCGAATGTGTTTCATTGCTAGCACAACTGCTTTGAATTATTTCATTCTCAAATTTTGGACGAAGCTTTAAAAGCCTCTTAGACGCAACAATTTTCGACTTAATTTGTGAACAAAATTATTTCTAATGAAGTGAAAAGTCAGTGTTCACTATCATCAGATTTCCTTATAGTACTTCGGGGTCTGTCCAAGTCATATCGTAGAATGATGGACATTAAACAGAGGATGAACGTTATAAAGATTCTTGTCTGCCTTCGTTTCGATCATCGCGTTATCTTCAGTGCTGACAGCTGCTGCTCGCGGGCATCTCCGAAAGCTGCAGTTTGTTCTGTTCAGCTCAGACGGTATAGCACAAGATTGTACAGTGTACAATCACCATCATAGGTAATTGTACAATGGTGATTTCTACACTCTAGATTGTACAGTGTACAATCTGAAGCAATTCAAAGTAAATAATAGCGGTTACACACAGAATGGACTGACTGTTGGTACTTCTTAGTCTGAAATTTTCATGCAATAGATTTTGTATTACCTTACTTTTATTAGATTTATCGTCAAATCAATTATCACTTCATGTTATGCCACTTCATGATTGCTTCTAATCCTGCTTAAATTTATCCTTCCGACTATTCTTAGACTGATTTATTTCTAACCCGCTTCAGCTCATCAACACGAAATATTAATTGCGGTAAACATAATAAAAACATATCAGTACCATTTGTCAGGAATTGTGTACTTTGTGGGAGCATGTTGCGGGCTTGAAGCATTGACTATGTAGAAGCATATTCGGAATATACATTGGCCGGTATCGTCGTTGAACAGGTTTGCTAGAGAAATGGGTTTCGATCCCGCAAACTGTTTCTTTTGACAAGCATATCTGTCAGCTATTCCATTCGTCTGAGGCTTTAGTGATTTTGCTGAGCGCGGGAAGACGTGGCTTGTTCCCACCTCACGCGTAAGTCTCCGATTCACGGCTCTCCTCCTGCGCTTTACGTCTTAACTTGTGTCGTGCAAACTTACGAATTTGCAAGTAGTTTGTTGCTCAGGCCTGTCGTACGAGTGATTTCGTTGGAGAAGCGGACCGCGTACGCACGGAACAAAATTGAAATCAAGTATAAAAAATTTTATCACGAATTTTGTAAGGAAAAAAAACATTGTTGTCGGCACGTACGTGTATATGAAATTTTGCATTCCGTTTCCCTTTTTTTCGATAGTTCGTCGTTGTTGAAGTAACTGATAACGCGCAGAATTATTTTTGCTCTTGTATATAGTGATTGCAACCGCGTTTGACTGATAATTTATCTTTTTAGGTTATATTTTCGGCAAAATGGTGGTTTTCGTAAACGTTTGAGGTGTGCTGTCCTTCTTTTATTCATTAATGCATGACATAATTTTGAATTTCAGTCGGATAAGAATGATATAAGAACTATGTTTTATTTTCTGGAAAGGCGGTATAAATTATGGATTAAACTCAATTAGATTTTATGCCATAGCAGACTGAACGCATGTGCTATAGATAAATTTCCAACGCAAAATATTTTCATGACAACGTTACGCTTTTTAATTGTTAATTTACTTCTGCTTACTATAGGACTACGCCTATGACGCCCATTATTCCATATGATGTAACTTCGTCTCGGTGAATAAATGTGTTAATGTTTTAATATGTGTGTTAATAAATATGTTTTGAATAAATTTTTCGAGTACGTCCGTGCGTTTCAAAAATATTTTTCAATATATTTCCTTGCATACGCAGCGTTTTTACCTGAACTCGCTCCTCAATTTATTTGAGTTGCGCTTTTACTGCCTCTGGATCGTCAGCGCTGCTTCAACATGATTTAAACCCGGGCTATATATATATCCTGGCTTTCACATGATCATTAACATTATACTTATTTTATGTTAGGGTTTTCATAAAAATTGGAATTGGTACCATCACCTTCAATTTTTTGTAATTTGAATTCGAGTTTTTCGAAAATTCGCAGCTACTCTTAATTCGTTTTTTTTTCAGTTCTCTTCCTTGATTTATGATTCCGTTCGTTGGTGTAAAAATAAATTACGAACTCATAAAAAACTTGTTCACTTTTTTGCCATTTAGGCTCATTACAGATGCTATTAATTAGGGTGTGAAATTATTATAGAGAACGGCAGAAATCGGCATTCGAAGAGCAGACCCGTGAAATCGTGCATAATATTTCGTGAAATCTTCATAATATGAAACCTGCGTGAAATCTTCATAATATTTTATTATTTTGGATCATGAATTCGAAAACGGCATGTATCGTGTGTGGATGAAAATTAAGTGTTTTAATCATAGCAAACAACAGAAATATCGTGTGTGCATGAAAATCAAGTGTTTTAATCATAGCAAACAACAGAAATATCGTGTGTGCATGAAAATCAAGTGTTTTAATCATAACAAACAACAGAAATATCGTGTGTGCATGAAAATCAAGTGTTTTAATCATAACAAACAACAGAAATATCGTGTGTGCATGAAAATCAAGTGTTTTAATCATAGCAAACAACAGAACTCTAAAAATTCTGCAAATTCGTAGAAAAATTGTAGCGTTACGTTACACATAGTCTGTTCAAAGAAAAGATTTCTGTTGCTGCGCGGCGTTGGAGGAAATTCGGATTTCAGTGTCGAGGAGAACCGATGGTGCCACGTCACCTAGCTTCGTTTGTCGATGCCTTGACAAAAATGCAATACTCGGGCGTCTCGCTGCTCTTTGCCTGTATGTCCTCACACAGACGCCTCCAGAGTACCAACCAAAACCATCTTGTGTACGAAGCATTTTCCGATTGTCTTCGCACAGTTCATTACTGCATGAACTATGTTTTTCAAAGGGCGTCGGAGGGCCCATGCTCGAATTTTTAGCTAAAAAAGTCGTGTGTAAAAAGATATTAGAACGAAGTAATCGCATTTTTTTCAGCACGAGTAAACAGCGTAAGCTCTAGGGGTTGCAAATAAAGTATATAATTTGTAACTGATAAATACGTCTAAAAAATTCCGTTGAAAGTAAACAAAGCCCACGCTACTTAGTATTATTTAACCCTACAACTTAAGCTCTTGGCAAATGACTGGGAAATGTTGATCTGCGCACTGTAGAACATACAAATTCTAATACATCCGTTCAGAAGTCCTATGGGACTTCGCGTTCCTAGGGGGATTGTTCCTGAGCGCCCCACCGTTGAGCTCGCGGTGTCTGACTGTAGATCTCAGTTGTGGGGTTAAGTTATTATGTAGGTAGGATTCCTTACATTTCCCTTCTCTGTCTCTCTCGTGCAGGCGGCCGACGTCCCGTGTAAGCGACCTCTTGTGCGAGTGTCTTCGTTTCTGTTGCTTTTCATCTGTCCCTCCTTGTCACTTCGTCTCTTTGAGATGCTAACGCTGCTTCTTTCGAGCCAGCTTCAGCGGGCTGGACATCTGAGACCTTCCGCCCCTTGTGGGTGATGAATAATTGAGACCTTCCACCTCTATGATGATGTTCATCTTGACTTTCGGTGCGAGATAGCTAAATAGCTGAAGCGCTAGTAAACATTTGGCCACTGAACTAACAAACTAACTAACTAACTAATACATCCGTTACATCTATTAATATTACTATTATTTTTTTGGTGCAAAATCTGTGGTCTGGTCACATAAATCAACAGACACGGTGTTTAAATTACACCCAGAGTAAAAAAGTATATTATACGAAAAATATAATACCGTTTTTAGTTCTTACAATGCTCATAAAATTTCAGATAATGATGAAATTCATCTGCTCGAGAGCGTTCCGATGCCGGTGATGTCTCCACCTCCGAGCGAAGATACAAAGATATATGATAATTTCCCTGAATTAATCACTGACTTTGACGCACCTAAAAATGTTTTAGATCCCGCATTGTCCGTTTGTGTCACTAAGTTCCACCATGTCATTCCTCAGGCTGAACTTCGACGCGTCAGGTCGCCTGATGATCTCAGAGACGCGCCAGACTGACGAGGGAAGCTACGCCTGCCATGCTGAGAACCTCGTCGGTCGACGCTCATCGTCGCCTGCGATCCTAGCCGTCCTTGGTGAGCATACGCGAGTCTTCGTATTTGTATTAAATAACAGGGTCATTTCATAATTGAAGGTTTTCTATTAATTTATTCCTAAAGTCGTTTAATATTCAAGCAGGTACTATTCTATAGGAGCTTGGATGAGGCACATATGTTTATTTTACATACATGTTTGGGATAGTTATCGACATTATACTTGACATCGGTTGATAAACGCTCTGTTTCTTTGTGCATATTATGATAGCTTGTGAAGTTTGTTTCGAGTTGGATTTTAGTATAACTCCTCACCTGATAAATATTCCTCTCCACGTTTGTTTACAATTATCTTTGTACACTACAATATTATCGTCTTAACGATCGTCTTTGTCGCCACACCTAAAGTTGAAATATTTGGTTATTAAAGGTAATAAAAAGTAATCCTGCAGTCTAAGAACTTCATTCAATTTTTGTGTTTTACTCTACGTTATATTGAAATTCAGGTTATAGAACGTCCCTAATCTGCTTAAAAGCTCGTTTTTAAGAGATCCGTTGAAAATAAATTATTTATCTTCAGCATGCGTTTCTTCCGCATTACGCTTTTCTCATTTCGCCTCTTTTCTTGTTTAACGAGTGACATTACTCCAGAAGAAAATTTTACTTTCGGTTGAAATACAGCCGCATTGATAGAGCCTGCAGCTGTAATTTGATCACTTGCATTTAATTTTTGACCCGCAAAGGAAAGTAGGTTATTGAAAAGTTAATGAGGTTTGCAAACAAATCGATTTGCTTACTGTTTCTTACATTCGTCGCTGAATTGTGTCACTCGCTCTTCCAACTTTGAACCCTTCCGGCGTTCTGCCCTTGCTCTTGTTTCAACTAATTGACGATGAATTGAATTGGTCACAAAACATTCATTTTATACAGCACTTCTATACGACTTGTGTGAATTACACGTGGATATCGCCGAGCCTGAAAATAGACTTTCAAATTAAGTCGAGAAGGCGGATGAAAGAGCGTCGGCATTTTACCTCCAGAGACGCAAACCAGAATAGCAATGGTTTCCATGCCCTAATAGTAAAAACCTTACTTGATGTAATGTTATCAGTTATTCGATTCCTTCCGTGTCTGTTTTTTTATTTGCCTTGTTTCGTATCGCTCAAAGCGATTGGAAGAAAATTATGCTGTTTAATATGCATTTTGAAAAATAATTTATAATATAATTATAAGAATCCGAAGCAAATTACTCAATTACGCACTTGAACAAAATATAAATAGTTATCCGTTATTATTGAAACTTATTATAAAGTCACGATTGCAATGATGGTGAGTTGCCTTTTCACAATCGGATAATCAAACAAGAACTCTTAATATCTTCTTCGCTCATGATTTTTCTTATGTTTGTATTTTTGCGACGTATCAGTAAATCTGCGTCTTCGCATCTTATCTTCAGGTAATTTACGCATTTCTTTTCTATATTGATGGTCGTTTTTGTCTGCATAAATCCAATGGAATGGAGCTCGTTTGCCCGATGGTCGTCTACGATAACGATGACCCTTGGAAATCTCGTGCTTGTAACTCTTAAAAGTGCAGAAAATTTCTCACAGTTCACCCTTCCCAGAATCTCTAGGGATTTGTCAACGGTATCAGCGGGCTGTGACTCTCCCTCGCTTCCGCTTGCCTTGAATCCCTTCCCCTCAACTTGCCAGGCCCGACACCGACCAACTTTAGACAAGTCGGCGCATGGCTCCGTAGAGAATTTCCGCTCCCTTTCCTGGGTGCGAGTCTTGTAAAACTCCAGATGCAATCACGGTGCTTGCGGGATTTTTGCTTCATTGTTTACTATATATTCACGACATACTAAAAACTAGCGATTTTTTTATTAGACCGTACCTCGATGACAATGATCCTGCTGTTGATTCGCTTAGAAGAATTTGTTTTATGTACATACAACTCTAAGATATTTTGCACAGTTTGTCCAAAAGTAAGGATGCAAGTTAGCTGGCGTTGTTTTGCCAAATAAATGGAAAATGTAAAATTTGAGACATCTGCGGCATTTTTTCATTAAATGATAGAAGACATCCGATTTACTAAAGATAATAGGGTCGTAATTTGCATTTCATTACAAATGTATATTCTCGTTCGTTTTGATTATTTTACATTCATGAACCCCAACTACCGGGCTGTTAATAGACTATAATATTTGCTTATTAGGTCAAGTTTGTAAGATTCAATATTAAGATTCTTTCGTTTGCCACAACTTGCCTAGTGATGAACTCGTGCTTCTTGAGCGAGAAGGTTGCCGACATTAGGCAGAGAAGTTACGAGTGTGTTTCCCTGCGGCCTCTTCCTATATTCACGGTCTCAGCACAAGAGCCCGTGCATGGTTTTTGTCACACGATAAACATGAAATTTACAGGTAAACATTGTTTCGATTTATGTTGATTTAATTTTGAGTCAATTTAATTTTTAATTTTGGTTAATTTATTTTAATCTTTTATTTTTGCTCGTCGAGACTCTAAACCGAATTTTATACTGATTACCTTTAAGATCTGTGGTTTTCTCATGGAGATGTGTCCTCATTCGAGCTGCTTTGTAAAAATTTTTCTAAATGTCACTTTAATCATCTGTATCACGTCATCAAAATTTAAGTGATTGTATGAATTTTTTACTTACGAACATCGATGACGATCATAATTCGAAAACATACCTTTTAGAAATTATTTCGACAATCTGACACAAATCTTCATAATATCACAAACTTTTGCTCGTAAATCCCGTGGTTGCGATCGGCCGACGCCATCATTGCTGCAAGAAGACCTGCAAAAACATGCCGAATGCTTCCTCAAGCGCGCCAAAAAAGGATAAAACTGGAAGCTGTCTGGACCCAATGTGCGGAAATAACTGCCGCTCTGGCCTGTTTATTGACAGCACAACCAAAGCCTTCCTTTCCTTTGCTTCTCTCGGATGCTTTTGTTGGGACTAAACGACTTTGGGTAGAAATCTAAAATAATTTTTTGCCTGCTTTATAGAGCCGCGGCCCGTTTGCTGTCAAGAGTTCCCTATACTGATGGGCATCGCTGCTGCTGATGTATCCGTTTCTGTGACAGCGCATCATTTTTTTGCGCGGAATGACTGCCGATACGATTTGGTATAATTTAGAAACTCGCATTCCTTGATTTATTTTCAAATTTTTGGCGGTAAAACTAATTTATTCGCCAATTAAAAGAAAATCCTTTGAAATCTGAAACGTGGCACCCTATTTAAATATATTTTTTGAGTATATTTATATGCAAAATAATTAAATGAAAACTATTAACTTACGGAATATTTTAGAAAAAATGCGAGGGAAGTTTAGTCTTAATCAAGGGATAATTATTTCAAATGAACTCTATAATTCATTTACCCCAAAGCACTCAATTGCTCACGATCTGCCGAGAGATATGAAAGTAGTTATTTTGATGCTTTAGACGTGGATTTCGTGCAATGCAGCTTAAATTTGTTGCTCTGCGTGGAACTGGAAGCTTTCGCCGTCATAGAAGCCTTAACTTCAGCTCTGCGTTTCCAATAACGAATCGTCATGTTTGATTATTGCAAGTGTCAAGTCTTCATTTGATTTGGATAGTTGCCTCCTGTTTGTTGGTGAGATTTGATGAATTTACCTAAAACATGCTATTGGGGGCCACCAAGTTCGTGCTGCTAAACCTTTTTGCAGCACGAACTCTTTATAAGAATAAAAGTTTTCTGTAGTAAAGATACGTTAATTGTCAACACCACGAAGTTTTGATTATGAATAACCTGTTCACTTGCATTCATCTAGTAAAACTTAAGCTTGAGTGTTGGCATGAAAAATCGTTCAGCGTAAAATACGTAGGCTCCAACGACTTTCCTGTCCAATATAGTAATGATCTTCGGTCAGGACGACCGCACCAAACAAAGTTAAAATTCTTTCTAAAGCAATTTTACAAAATTAAATCCTATTTAAATCCAGTCTTCATTTGTTGTTCCAGTAGATCGGCACATTTTTTTTTTTGGTATTCAGTTGTTTAAAATTATCACGAGTAGCGTTTCTGATTCGGATGACTAAAACTTCTATTTTCTATTAATGCATTTGGATGCAACATTGACCTTACGTGTAACAAATAAAAAGAAATCTGTAAAAATATCCTACTTCCGCCTGATCTGACAAGCCTACCTGATACGCTTGTACATTCCCTGCGTATTGAATTTAATGTTTTTCTAATCTCATGTGCTTCTGATTATGTACACTTACTACAACTGTTGCATTGTCTGAGAAATTCATCTAAGTACGTTAATTATACAATACAGGCGATATTCATAACGGATATTCATCGTGAAGCTACATGTGATTTATCCAAATTAGCTCTGTCAGTATCACTTCAATACTTACCTGGACTTGGCGTTTCTAAGAATTATAATATTATTCCTGCTATATGGTCTTGAAAATTCATCTCGTTTTAAGAGAAGTTCACAGGAACAACTGATATAAAAACTTCGTTCCGCGTGTGAGCTGCCTCGAATTAAGACCATTAATTTGATTGTTCATGTATTTAAATGATATTTATACGGCAGACATCGATAACATCAGGAATTTATTACCATGTTTCGAATCTGTCATAAAAATGAATAAACTAAGGTGAGTATGTGACTTGGTATAGCTTCCCGTGAATCTAGTCTTGCACTATCTGTTGAGAAAATGTATGCATTAAGTTATTGAACTTATTCTGTGATGTCAAAATATCGAGGAGCTTTCTCAATGATGTGGCACATACAGGCAAAGGGTGATGACAATCATGGTACAAACCACGTCACGTTGAGTCCTAGTAAAAGACATCATGGTGTACCTGAAATAAATAACATAATTATCTCTGAAATAAGACATCATATTGTACCCGAAAAAAAGACATCATGTTAAACCCGAATTAAATAACATCACAATATACCCGAAATAATTAACATCACAATATACCCGAAATAATTAACATCATGTTAAATCCGAAATAAATAACATCATATTATACCAAAAGTAAATAACATCATATTGTACACGAAATAATTAACACCATGTTGTACCCGAAATAAAAGACATAATATTGTATGTACAACTATGCAGCACACAATGTCTCGCAGCACAGCACTTTGCCTCGCCCACAACTGGGAGCTACGCCCCCATGTCGCGCGGCTGCAGTTCTCTCTGGTCTCTAATTAAGCGAGCGCGCGACGCGCCTTATTGAAGCTGTCCGCCGGCCAATGGACCGGAAAGTCTTCCTCTAAAATAAGAGCTCCTAGGTAAAGCTTCTCAATATTTATGAGACCCCAAGAACAAAGAAGCCTCGCGCTCAACAGCCGAGAACTAATTCTTGATGAAATTTACTGCTGCCTGTCCGCCCAAATGATACCATGGTGGAATTTTAAATTTTTTCCCGTTGGTGGGTTTCTTCAAAATTGTATTGGCTGTGGCCCGCTTTCTATTTTTCTCAGTTTTTTTCTCGCTTGAAGCGAGACTAATGAAATGCACGACACCGTCCTTGCGAAGGACGACCAGAGCCCCACATTCTCTGTGAATTATTTGTCTCGGGTCGCGCTATTTTTTTTGCTGTAAACCAGGCTCCAGTGTATACCTAGCTTGATAGTGTTTACTTGGCTTTTATTAAAACTCGGTTGATATTATGAAGAGAATGTTCAAGTTTAATATTATAGTGTTCGGGAGCTTATACTTTCGAAATTAAGTGGATTAATTCTTGTTCCTTCTTTTGTTCTCAAGAATACTTTCAACACATATTACTTCAGCCAAGAACAAACTAGTTGAAAATCTTCCACGTAGGCATTTGGCAGATGTAAATGAAATCAGAATTTTTTGCTGGTGAAAAATAAAAGTTTTTGAAAGGTGAAAGTGAAAACCTGAATTTTTGGCAGATGAAAATTGAATCACTAGGACTAAACAGCTTTATTTAGATAATGATCTTGAACTGGTAATGGATTAAACACCAAAGATCCATCTCTTTGCCTTGATCTGCGATGGAAACCTGCGTCATTTGGTTAGAGTCGAGACGCGCTGCGACTTTTTACTCTGACCATAAGTCCACGGCAGCTGCGAATGCTTGGCAGTCTGCCAAATGCTCATCCATATGGAAACTCGGTCTCATCTTTGAGCTCACATGCTCTCCCGTGCTCACTTCGAGATCATGCGACTGTAGGCTGCTCGCCTGACGAAAATTTGAGCCCACTTTTCATGCGCGTCGAGAAAAAAAGGTTTCGTCTGATTGAGAGTGGGTTCAAAGTAGTGTAAATTTTATGCCACACGCTATTTTCATATTATATTAGACTTATTTTACACTATGCTGGGAACGATTTGATCATTTATCGATGGGGGTGCTTGCATACAAAAAGGTATAACTTTAAGTTTGCAATCGATCTAGTCATCTCTGTTTGCTTTGGCTTTTGGTAGAGGAAACTGCATTTTCACGATTACTCGTGAGTGAATCTTTTTCGTTCATTGCCATAAACACCTCATTTGTCGCGTGAGTCATAAGTCATAATATGAAGTTATGGGCAGTTTGAAGCATTCCCTTGTTAAGTTCAGTATATTTCTTATGATGTGCACTCAAATCAATGACTTAGTTGCTCTTCAACGCTTCATTCCTGAAAGTAAGAAGTCATTGCAGTAACTTATGTTCGGCTTTACTTCATTGCATTATTTATTTTCCTTCAGCGTTCACAAGAGAGCTTTTTCCGTTTATAGTTTTTATGTATTCTAGCTTTCCCTCACCGAAAGAAATTTCGTAACCTTCGTTCCGTTGTGAACTACCCGAAAAAATTCCGCTGACGTTATAAACTGCTCTTGTATATAGTTAATGTAATAATATTATAATAATGATTTGAGTGTCAGAGAGCGCTTGCAACTATTGGCAATTTCCAAGTAATTAGTTTCAAAACTTTTTCTTTTAGCAGTTTTCTATCCTATAAAAATGTAACGTTACTTCGCTGAGCTTATAGTTCCTCCGACCGATGAATAATTAATTTATAATTATAATTATTAATGAATTGTTTTATCTGAAAACATAATTGCCTCTATAAAAATTGCACCTAATTTCAAATGACAATTCAATAGACAATAGAATTAATTCACTCACTACTTCGACGGCTTTCTATATTCTGTGGATAAGTTTTCTTTCACTCTTCCGATAATTCCTCGTACATGTTATTGAAAATAAATTAATGAAGCGCTCCATTTGAATTCTTTTCACGTCTCCCAAGTATTATTTACACATTTGTGAGCATATCTTGCAGTCAAGCTCAAAAGTCATCATTTGGTTGGATTGGTTATGCTAGAATAGATCAATCTATTTCTCACATAGCATTATGACAACAAATCTAGTTATACTTTCCCCTCTCTTAATGGGAATTTAGTTTGATTATTCGAAAATTTGGTTTGGAAGAATACAAAATAAAATACGGTAGTTAAGATAAGCTTGGACTTCGATTTTGCTATGTAGATCAGCAGCTAATATTATGGGGATTTTTATCTCATCTCGCATCAAATCTCGAACTCTAATTTTTATATGTCCTGCTGAATCATTTGAGCTTCATTTCACAATTATGAACTTGTGTACTTGAAATTAAATCAAATTATGAAATGGGAAAAAATTATTCCAGGTGATACCACAATATACTGTATATGTACTTTTTCTTGATACATTACCTTTAGATATTCAAAGATCAAGTTTTATTTTTTTTTTGCGGTGTTCATGTTTTCTCCAAACTCTATATTATACTGATAAAACATTAAGTGGATTACCAAGAATTGAATTGAGTTGATTAACTCACAACTCTCCATACTCCTAATTGGATCATGTGTGCTGGTTTACAGAACACGACACTCGCGGCGCATCTTGCCAACCCCTCTACGATTGTCATTTTTTAATCATTGCGATAATGAAACGTCTTCGGAACCCCCCTGTGACTCTCTTCTTGATTCACCTGATGAGGCTTTTACACAAAAGTTTTTGTTTGTTTTTAGGGTTGATATGATCATTTGTTACAATTAATTTATAATTATTAATGCACTAATTTTTATCTTAGTAATTTATCTTAATTTATCTTATCTTAATAGCGAGTTGCAGAGGTGATTAATCCGATTGTTATCTTGAGTTTCCGAAATTCAGTCGACTATTAAATTTAAACCTTTAGGTTATGAATTCTTTGAAAGTTTGTGTCCCTTTATTTCAGTTTGTTATTACGGTGCAGATTTGTTTTATATTGCTTTATTTCGTACTCTTGCCTGCTGTTGTCCTTCTGTTATGCTGATTTAATCATTTGCTCTCACTCAGTCGTATTGAATATTCCGCTATATGAATTCATTTATCATGAAATTCTCCGCGCAAAGTACAAGTCTCCATGACGTTGCCTTAACGTGCCCAGAGATTACATGTACACACGCACGTTGCCTAAGCAGCGACTGTCGCACATAACGAGCGCTGTTTTATTGCATTGCAGTTCGTCCGTTCTTCGTGCGCCTCCCGGACGACGTCGAGGGCCGAGTCGGTGGCGAGGCTCGTCTGCATTGTCGCGCTGGCGGGTCGCCTGCACCGCACGTCACTTGGCGACGTCACGACGGCCGTATGCCCGTGGGACGTGCTCGTCTCGTTGACGAGGACCACGCCCTCACCATCGTCTCTCTCCAGACCTCGGATGATGGCGAATATTATTGCCAGGCTGAGAACGAGGTCGCCACGGTTGTGGCTCGAGCACGTTTAACAGTTCTTGGTGAGCTTTCCTGTGGTGAACAAGTTAATATTCACTGCTTCCACAACTATTCCGAACCTCATACGAATACCCACTCCTCCTCGTAGATTCTTCCGTAGAGCAAACTGGACCTTGTACAATCAAACATCATAGCACACAGTGCCAACACAAGCAGACCTTACAATAGAAGAAATAGACCAACACTTCGACGACTGGACTTATCATGTCACGGCGTTAAACCCACTCACGGAACATTACTTTTACATGCACAATATCAAGACACTCTTCAATACATTCACACCCAGTCAAAATACCAGCAATGAGTCCTTCGCCTCCACCCCTGTACACGTAACCATTAACCACGTAACCATTCCCAACGTTAACCACGTAATGGTTATTTGTACACGTAACCATTCCCAACGACATACACAACGAGAAATCTGCATCTGATAGTCAATTATTAAATCGACGCGAATACGTGCAGTTAGCCCGATTACAATTTTTTCTGGATGTTTTACCAAATATAACGAAAATGATGTCTAACCCACTCTAGTTCAGTCCACCCCACTGTAAATTAACTGACATACTTTTTTGATGACTCTTAATACTCCATCACACGGTTAGCACGGCTTGAGACGTTTTCATCCACTCATTGTATTCCAATCATTTATATCGACTCATACATTATTATTAAAGCCCATGTTCGACAGATACGAACGAAAATTTTCCTGACTTATAAACTTCTGTATAATAATATTTAACGCCTTCGTTCTTTGGCAGACTTCCCCCGCGTGATCACATCGGCCAGCGACACGGCCGTGATAGCGAACACCACCATCGAGCTGCCCTGCAGCGGCGCTGGCACCCCTGCGCCGACATCCCTGTGGACCCTGCCTGGCCGCCCGCAACCGGTCGGAGTCGGCGAGGTTCTGAAGGACTCGGCAGGCCAACGCGTGATCGAAGTCTTGCCTTCCGGTGCCCTCCGCCTGACCGCACCCGAGGACGGTCAGCACACGTGCCTGCTTGTGAACTCGGCTGGCGGTGTCAGCACGCACGCGTGGCTGACGGTCGTGCCAGAGCAGCACCTGCCACCTCCTTTGCTGACGCGTATACCGCCCCTTACGCTGACACTACTAGCGGGCACCTCGGCCACGCTGCCGTGCCAGGCGAGGGGACCGCCTCAAGTGCAAGTGCGGTGGTTCAGGGGCGACGTGTTCCTGCGTTCTGCCGAGCCCAGAGTTACGCTCACGCAGGACGGCGATCTAATATTCTCAGGTAAGAGTTAACAGGAGTCGCATATTCTTCGTCTGCTGTAACGTATTCTCCGCACGAGGTATGATGAACTGCTTGCAGAACCGTGGACCCATTTTGGAATGACTTTTTTTATTTATTTGCTCTGTTGAATGTTTCATCGTATGCGCCCTTGATGCGTTCGACCCTAAACCGCACTGACTTGCGCCTAGTGAGTTGGCTGCCAGAGCATGCGTCAGGTTCTTATATTATAAACGTTGTGGTCCTGAACATTCATTAAAGAAATCACGCTGAGGTGTTTTTTAAATATGTTCGAAAAAAAAACACGGTTTATTCATTAAAGTTCTGTTAAAACTATATAAAAGTAATATATATTCACTAAAGTACTGTTCAAAACTATATAAAAGTGTTGTTTATTCACAATTCACTCTTTCGTAACCAATAGGCTTGGATCTCTAGCGATTTTCCGTTGTCTGACGTGCCTCGATCAACTGTCTTCCATATAATCTTCAAATAAGCACGCCGTAACATTTTACGAATAATTGTTCTCAATTATTCTCGTCCTGTTGTATGAGTTGGATGAGAATTTTCGACTATTTATCGAAAAATGCCTCCAGAAATTTGCATAGATCCGATCTAACGATATCGTAAAATTTAAGAATAAAAAATTATGAAGACCAAAACCTAGGTTCCAAGGAATTGAAAATATACGGGGATTCTAGTATAGCTGTTTCCCAACCAGTTCAGTAAATTGCCGTTACTGAATTTGCGCCTTTCTAACATAGCTCATTTGCATGAATCTGAGTAATTTCTCCTTGAAATTTGCTGTCGCTTATTTGAGCAGCATTTGAAGGTAATTGACCTGAAGAATGGTGGAGGCATTTGGGCCCAGGTTTCTGACAAGCTTGGCGTAGATGAAAGTCTGCGTGGTAGCGTTGCTATTAGCGTATTGATAAGCGTAACCATACTTTCACGTGGTAACGGCTGCTATTTTTTCAGATTGCTGAAAAATTGCTCCCAACCGTCGCCACGACTATAAATTCTGGATCTTGAAATGAAATTTGGAATGATTGTATTCTAGTAAATTTGAAATAAACTTATTTATCATGCGGTTTGGACGGAGGGAATCTTATTTTTTTTAATATTATTTTACGGTGCCTTATTTGTGCCCACACACTAAAATTCATTTTAAAAATAACGTTGCTCACATTCCAGGCACAATTAGTGCTGTTTTCATTCCAAATGTTTATTATGTTAACGCGCACTTACGCTCAGTAAATAAATATTTTTTCGTTTTATTAAAGTATCTAATTAACATAGAGTGCAAATCAATGCAAGCGCCTATTCATATGTACAATATTCTCTTTCCTGCTACAAAAATACAATTTTCAATTTTGAGAGCTAACAGCCTTATTGAGACAACAACAAATGGTAAATTGTAAATTAAATAACAAATGATAAATTTTCTGTTGTAAACAACTGACAAATCATAAATTGTAAATTTTACTAAAGAACATTTTGCCAACGCCAACTATGTTAGCTACTTTGGGAGGGAGTAGCGAGCGTTGATGATCTCGCAAGCGTATTTGTTATGTCGGGCTAATGAGAAGTGGTCAGTGAGGAGGTGGCGGTGTTGATGTATGGTAAGACTTAGCTGCTGAGAACCCAAACCTCCGCACCCCTGTACAACAACCAGAATAATAAAGGCCTGAAAATTTTATGAGCAAACCAAGCTTCGTTTCGTGTGGGGGGATTTCATTATTCGACAGATTATTCTCACATGGGCCCAAATAATGTACCTATCAAGTTTCTGTTCTGTGATCTTTATAGGTGCTTGTGAGTGAATTTTGTGAGTCCTACCCTACTCGTAAAATAAAATCGAAACTATTAATTAATTATTGAATGCAATGCAGATAATGGCTTTTTAAGTGTGTTAGGGACATCCCTAATTTTACTTTGTGTGTTCAATTGTTCAAGTTTGAATTAAATTAGATCATAATACTAAGTGGGAAATTTTAGTAACTATGTACTTTTCCGTAGGTTCCTCAACAGTAGGTTCCGTTGTTGGGGACTAATCAATAAACCGGTTTTCTTTGACCCCAAACAATCGACCAGTGATTGTATTTAAAGGATGAATAAAAATAAGGAATTAAAACCAATAATAATAAACGAACGATAAATACAAGAAAGCAAATATCAAAACTATAAACCGTATATCTTTCTAGCCTTTCACTTTCAACTCGTAAGAATGTTCTAGTTTCGGAGCCCCGCTGAAAAAACACAAATAAATACAAATTAAGGACTTGAATTAACGCAACCTAACAAATGAATATAGCACACATAAATAATAAACAACATAAATAACAATACACAATATTACGAGAAAGGCCACGACTATATCAACACTGAAGATGAACACGATAAACAATGCAAGCACTAACCTCTGTGGTGGATCACTTAGCAATGACAAGTTACATGACGGATCTATACGAGGTGACGTAATAGTTGACTTGAAAATCAAAATGACAAAACCCGTAGCCTAACTATATGAAATTATATCTAAAGGCGATCCCTAACACCGTAGGTTCCTATGTACCTCACGTAGGTTCCTCAACAGTAATATGGGTGATGAATGGATGTGGTAATGTCATCCCAAGCGAGTGTTATTCGCATTATGGGTTCTTGAATCACTAAAGTTTACCCCCGGCTTTACAGGAGTCCGAAATTCTCGACTTGGAGAAAATCGTGTAGATTTATTTGTTCAACCATTTGGCTTGCCACGAGACAGTATTTGGCACTCGACGATAAAGCCGTTGCAAGACTTATGCTGATATTAACGAATAAAAATCCATCATTTGTAAATTTAACATTTTCATTTTAAGGTATAAATTGCTTGCGTTTTACAAAATTAAATTTCTTATCGCCTGCGTTATACATCATCGCTTTACCTGTAGTTTTTTGCTTTGGAATATGCCGCATTTTACTTGTGAGCTGAAGTTGCCTCATCAGTCATACTACAAGAGTTCTGAACCAACAAACGTGTAGAACATTCTTCAAGGCTGGAAAGTTGGCTAGTATAAAGTTAGAATTAGATTAGCATAACCTCTGCTCGACAGAACCTCTACGTATGGCCGCAGGACTCGCTTAACTTTCTCGCCATAAGCTTGCGTGTCTCGTGAATAGATTGTCCGATGCCTCGTTGCTGTTTTCCATATGGCACGCGCTGAGTATAGGTAGGTACAAAGTCAACTGATTTAGCGAGGCCTTGGCATGCTGCTCAGCAATATTTTTCTGTTTTTCTAATGTGTTTGCAATAAGTGAACCGTTGAATCGTTGCCTCATCGGTAAAGTAAGGCTTGTGTGTTCATATTGAAGCATCGACAAATTAACATATAATGTAGATATATTAATAATAATGCTCGCTCTCGTAACGCCCGTAAGCAATCCTCTGGAAAAGGATCGTAATGGCGCTGGGATTATTATGACTCTCGGCGGCTGCATTTAAACATTTTATGTTTTAACGAATTTATGATGCAGACTGATTATCGTCAATTGCGATATTACTCTTTTTTTACGAAAAATAACATTTTAGCGAGTTTCCGGTCTACCCTCATATATCAATCACCTTCAATTTTCCGTATTGAAGTTGTAGATATACTATTCTAAAGCCAAATATTGTGTTATGCCTCGGCGAGTAATTATGAAGATACGCGGAAATATTGGCAATTCGGCACGACTCGCACGTTTCTGTGCTGCTGGACGTGGCAATTGACGGCGTCTTTGAGTGACTGGAAGTAATTTGTGCGTCGGTCCTGGCGACTGTTCATATCAGCCTGCAGGTAACCAGGCGTGTACGGCGCGCTGTATTGCAGCACCGCCGTCTCGTCGCCACGTAATGGGAGCTGCTTTGTCGGACGACGCCCTGGTGTTGATATCAGTGAATCAACTCATAGTGAATGATTCAGTTTTATGCTTGAAGTTCTTCTGATTGAATAACAGCAGTGGAGAGTAATTAGGTCGGGGTCCTTGAGTGATTCATATCAGCGTGGGTCATACCTAAAATTCAGAATATGTATTCTCTAACGTACGAATAGTTTGGTTTAAACTAGCAGGACGAAATTCCAAGGATGGACTTGCATACAATTTTGACTTAGGGTCAATTGATGTTTTTGAATAGCAGCCTAATTTTGTCTGAATCGTTTTGCGATTAGAAGTTCCACTCGGGCACTTCCTCGTGGTTAAGTGAGCGACGTATGTCTTTCTTTCTACGTAAAAAACCTCGAAGACTCAGTTATCCAAGATTTTATTAATCAAAAAAGCAGTAGTAAGACTAAAATTTTCGTTCTTAGTTTCAGCATTCCATGCTGACACAATATGGCCTTCTTCATAATGTTTTGTGAAATTTTATAAGTTTTGTTGCGGGTTCATAAGACATAAGACGCAGCTAAAATTGCGATAGTTCTTCTGGCATGTGCACATTGTACGTACTCGGATAGTCATTTGATTTATCGTGCGGCGTGAGTACCTCTTACGAAGTTATGACATCTGTTGCATTTATGCAGATGGTGAAGCTTCCGTATCATTTATTGTAAGTATGTATTCAGTGTAGTTCTGGCTTCATCAAAGATAAGTATTGAAATAAATAGTTACCATTAAAACTGGTATTGAGCTTGAAGAATTGTGTGTTGCATGTATGAAAATCGATCTCTGATAAGCCTTGTGACTTGAGTCTGGTGCTGCAAAAAGTTGCACGAATAGGAATTTGTTTGATTTGTACTGGTAAATGCCGGATTTAGATTGAAAAATATTTAATTTGAAATTCAACGCTGATTATTGACTTAGTTTTATTTATTGGGCTGTTGTGAATTCGGGGGTTTGATTTAGATTGCGTCGAAGGCGGCGCATCAGCGTGACCATGGACTACGAAGTCTTAAGCTCATCACAAGGTGGTGTATTGCATTGGTTCATGAATGCTTCCAAAATAACTGTTGGTATGGAATGATTATCGTTTTTCAAATATAGCG